CTAACTCCCTCCCTCCCCCCCTCCCAGCGCGTCTTGGCGAGCCACCGCTTTAGCTAATGTTTGGATCCAGCGTGCCTCACCTTGAGCTTGAGCTTGGAGTCTTCTTCTTGGGCGCGCCGGCGTAACTCAGATTCCCGTTTGATCAGAAGCTTTCTCATGAGGCCCTTGCACGCGTTTTGGACCTATCCAGTGGACGTTGGGTATTCCGAAAGGGTTGAAAAGATTTTCCGAAAGGGAAAGACTACTGTGTCGATGGAAGCGGGAGAGCTTCTGCAACTGGTGTTTGTTGCTGATGTTTTCTGCGGCCTGTTTGGCACGCATCGAGGCGGCCACCATTTTTCAACATTGACAACTATGATAACATTTCGGCTCACGTAACACAAACAACAACTACTGGCGTGCCATATCTCACTCTCCTCTACCGCTGCCCGTAGGGTATCGTCGAATCCAATCGTTGCCTGTGTATTCCCAACCCACGGTGCCGCTGCCCGAAGGGCAAGGTCAAAATTCCATCCGTGCTTACAGCTGTTGCGGCGTTTTGTTCCTCGGTCGAGGCACGGTTGTACTCCTCTTGTGCCCTTCTGGCTCTCTCTTGGGCCTCTTCCATCTCTTTGCGGTCTTTTGCCTTCATCTTAACCCTGTTCTCGTCAGCCCTGATCATTTCCTGGAACACAAAAGAACACAGCAAAGAAAACGTGCAACTCCTGGAAACGCCTAGCCGATAGCCAAGGGTGCACCATACCGGAAACGAAGCTACGGAGGCGGGTGTGCGCTCATAGCCGCGCATGTCATAATCGTTCGACCATTGACCTCGCATCCCTACAAAGCCGGGACGGAGCACGCCGGGGTTTCACTGGACCAGGCAAGCAGACCACCAATCGCGAAGCTAGAGGCGCGGGGGGGGTGTTCATTCGACTTTTCGTAAGAGCTTTGAGTTGCATCTGAACGATCGGTCAGCAAGCAAGGAAAGGCGAATATCCACGTTGTCGCGCAAATATCGACACTGAAACTGACTTTGTGCTTCAAGAGTGCCATGCTCTTGAGGCAACTCTCGGCCCGCCTGGCGCAGTCGGGCAGGCTCCTGGCTGCCCGCTTGGCGTTCTTGGCATGTCCCCTTTTCCCGCCGCCGTCCAACCGTCTCTCCGAAGTGTTGATTGGCTTTTCGGGGCGTTGGAACGGTACCAAGTCGTGGCCAAGGCGGCCAGGTTGAGAATGGACATGCGTGGAACACCTGTACGTACGTCCAGAGGAGATAAGCACGTTCGGAACAGTTTTCCTTTGGACCCCCCTCTGCTTCGCGTGCATGCTACTCTAGGATAAATATATTTCGGACCACGTCCAGAGAAGAGTACCGCTATTGGAACAGTTCTCCTGTGGGTCCCCCGCTACTTTGCGTACCTGTCGTTCAAAGATAAACGTGATTCAGAGCACATCCTGACATATACTGCATATTGTCGTCGCGAGCGAAGGTATTGTTTTCACTTTTAAAACAAGCGCAACAACAACGCAGGATGAATCCAGTAAGAAGCATAGCGCGAGATATCTTGCGTGAGACCTATCGGCTGACCCGTCCATCAAGCCAGTCGCCTATCCAGCCACCCACCAACGGACACACCTGTGGCAGTAGCCACTCCGACACTCGGTGCATGACACCGAAGCGAAGCGCTTCCTGCAGTGAAAGCAGAGGATTCTCTCCTTGTTACTCCCGGAAGCTGCCGCCCTCATCGCCTCCGAGGCTCTGTCCGCCGCAGCCTGACACAGGCACGGAAAGAGTGCCACCCATACGGTTTCCCCACAGAATGCCACCATGAGGGAAATGCAGGACTATTCGAGAAGATGTGGTCCTAGGGTGGAAACAGGAAGTTTTTCTTGTTTTTTTTGGGCCTCCGATGGCAGGTTAAAACCGCTTGGAGTATTTTGGCCGGGCCGTCGCTTCTTCGTTGGTTGTCGGAATAGCGGGCGTAAGAATATCGTCTGGAGGGGGTGGGCACGGCGCTGAGGAAAAGTCAGCGCAAGCGTAAAGGTTGCCTGACTATAGGGAGCGAAATACGTGGTGGTGCTTGCTGACCTTCTCGGCTGCAGCCCCATCCTCGTCTTCGTCCCAGAGCTCGCTGGACCCTTTCCGAAAAACGTCGAAGTCGGGTGGGTCCTTGACCGCTGTGTCGCCCGTGAAAGCGGTGATCCTCTCCACCTCCCGCGAGCTCGTCGTTGTCGTCGCGGATAGTGAAGGGGGGGACCCCTTTGCTTGGGCGGGGGGGGGGCGCAAGAAGTCAGCTTCCCCGTCGAAAGGGATCTCGCGCCCATCGCGAAGGCGTGTCGCCTTTGGGTGGATGTCGAACGGCCCTGAGAACATGGGTTCGCCAATGGGAACAGTTCGATATACTTGCGGGCATTGAGTAGAGGTTCAGCAAAACAACAATCGGGCGCTGAAGCAGCGGCCAAGATTGGGACTACCTCAACCGGCGGAAAGCCGGCATCGTTGCAATGTTTTTTTCTTCTTGGGCGACCACCCTAAGCCGCTCAAACGTACTCGCCGCGACAATCCTAGCCATCCATTACCTTCTTCCTTGTACTTGGAAAAAAAAAGCGTGCGACATTGTGGAGTAGCCAACACGTGAAACCAGTGCAATTGTCGAAAATAGTAGACACCTGGAGCAATCTTGCGCGTGGGGGCCGGCGGCATAGCACCGAAGTGAACCACTTGCTCGTCTTCAAGGATCGCCTGATTCCTTAGCATCGCAACGGCACCCAGGCGTCGTCGCTCCCCCCTCACGAACGAGGCACATTGCTCGACCCCGACCCGTATCTCTTCGCGCCGCCGCTTCAGGGCGTGGCGTTTTGAACGGTTACAGGATGAAGGTTTTGGTTTGGGGTCGGTATGAGAGGTATAGTCTCATCGACCAAACTCAGCTCGTGTTGGCACTCGGTCGACGATATAGCTGGAGGGAAGATGTATTTGAGGATCAAGAAGGGCTGGTGGATGGGTGGGTGAGGGTGTGCGCGTACACGTACCCCATGGTCTCCGCACAAGGTGTAGCGTACCCCTGTGTGTCATGCGGCTTTACTTTGCCGTTGTGCCGGTCTCGGCATACGGGTATTTGATGCCAGGAAGTCCTCGATCAGTTCGTCTCCGGCACGTTCTGATACCGTACCTTGATGGGCGTTTCGTTGATAGTGCAGTGGGATGGAATGGCGTTTTTCGCCGGCGGGCATCACATCTTTTGATTGAGGCTCAGCAACAAACGTACACCCCAGCGGCTTGACCTTTACCTTCTCGGCTGTAATCTTGTCGGGGTCTTTGTCGGCGTCTCTGGCAGCAGCAGCAGCAGCCTTAAACCACTGCTTGCCAATCGCTTTCTTGGCCAGCTTAAGTTCCTGGATCTGACGAACCAAAAACAAAAATGAAAACGAAAATGTAAGCTGCCGAAGAAGAAGAAAACGGTGCCTACCCTAACCCTAGAACACTCACGGAAGGAAGGTTGTGGTCGGCATGCACTGCACGCAGCGTCAGCTTCGACCAAGTACGTGTCTCGTGGTAGCTCGGCTTTATAATATGACGGCATTGATGGTGCTTCTGTTTTGGCCCTGGGAGCTGGAGTTTTGTCAAGCGAAATCAAAAGTGTTCGAATGAATTACGGAGTATTCATCTAAAGCTCACCAGGAATCAAGCTATGGTATGTGGAGCGATGACTTGAAACGAAACGACCGTCTTTCGGTGAAACGCATTACATGGCACGTTATACTAGAAGCAAAACGTCCCTCCTGCTCCATAGTAATTGTGGAAGATAGACTCGGGCAATCGAACTGGGGAGGACACAACACAGAACTGCTTTTGGTGGTGTCCTATGGTGTCAACGCAAGAAAAACATTCCCACTACCACTTGGGGTGTCACATCCGAGGATGAAGCATCTGTAGGCAGGTTTCCAGATAAACATTTCTTTCGAACCTTCTCTCGGACCCGATACCGCTTCCGGACGAAGTAACCTCTCCACACTAGCTGAAACCCGATAGCGGCGCGCCGCAACCGCAGTTGGTGCACGAACATACACCTTTAGGTCGATCAAATTGATCGAGGAAGAGTTAGGCGACGGGGGAGAACAAATGCTGCAAAGGACAGGAGACATTGAATCGTGTTGGAAAGGTTGGTGGTAGGCACAGATACAACAGACGGTCTTGTTTACGGGCTTTGTAGGACGCAGGAGACTTCGCTCAAGAACCCCTCAGTCAGGTTCCTGAGAAGGTTGATGGTGGACAAAGATAGCGGTGGTCGAACGATCACACCACATTGCAGGCGATAATTGGCACTTGCAGTACTTTTGTATCGAGTACAAGCGTTTTACCCTCGGTCACTGCTGTTAATGCGAAGAATACATGGACACGATGGTGGATAGGGATAGATGTAAAGGCACTCGTTAGCTCATGCCGGATAAACGATCAGGGCCTTGTCGCACGTTATGCGTAGTGTAGCTGCTTGCAGAGTACATCCCAGGCTTTCAAAGCCTCAAAATCATTATTCCAGGCACCGCACTGGTAGTTAAAACTCCACCAACAATGCCAACAAATTCTGGTAACCCACCGTGCTGTGTATCGTCTCCATAACGATTGGATCTTGGCGGCGTGGGCGTGTCGCTTGCGCGAGTTGTACTCTCTGACCAACCCTTGGATCGATTTCGCCGCTTTTTTCGCCAGCTCCAAGCGGACCTAATTGACGTAGCGTTTGGTACATTGGAGTCTAACATGTCGGTGCGTCATCCTTGCACTGTGTCGGTGCATGTATGGTTCCTGAAAGTCGTTCCCTGGGTCATGCGAAGGATATTTCCGTGACACCTCCGCGTGAGACAAGCTTCGCGGGTAGTACCCAAGCCGATTAGTATCTGGAGCGAAAACAGAGGTGTTCGGATGAAGATGGCTGCTCCCGAGATGCTCTGTCGTATTAAAGGAGCAAACAACTCACCTTGTCCAGCTGACCGGTGTTGCTCTTGAATCTATACGCCAGCATCCGTCGACAAATCTTCCTCGCGCTTGACATGAGCACACGAGCCCGACGGTCTCTGAATTGCCGGAGAGCGCGCCCGAGGATTTCCAGTGCTCGCCGCTCTTCGTCAAACCTCGAAACTACCGCCGCCGCAGCCAGGTGCAGCTTGTGGTGCGGGGCCGGCCTTAACCCCGTAGCCAGTGCGCTTCCACCGTTCTCCTGCCCCACCCTGCGCTTACTCTGGCTGCTGCTAGTGCAGCTACCCCCTGTCAGGTAGGATGCCTGTTGCATCGATGTACTGCTTTCCATGGTTTGAAGCTGCCGGTGACCTTGCTTGGGGGGGGGTGGTGTCGGGGGAGCGGTGACAAATTGCGCCTGTGACCCGGTCGATTCCGCCGTACGTGTGCGACGGGAGGAAGTCGCCGTAAAACGGGAATCTCCGCCTGCCAACGCCGAGGAGAATGGCACAGGAGGCAACACCTCCGCGAAGGATTGGCTTACCATTACCGATGATGCCGAATGCTTCACTAGGGCGTCCTGGGTGACTCCGGAGCCTACGAGGGACAGCGACCGAACACGGGGGCAAGCTTTCAAGAGCGCTACCAAGCCGGTGTCGTTGACGGCGGTACAACCGACCAGTCTCAGCTCTGTTAGGCACGGGAACGCCTCGGCAGGGGAATGCTCCGACGAGAAATTGAGCTGCTCATGGCCCTCCAGTCCAAGTGTCGTCAATCGGGGGCAGTGGCGCCACGCCGCCTCGAGCAGAAGGCTTCCTGTAAATGCCAGGTTGCTGTCCTGCATAGTCCTCGTACCGGCAGCAGAAGAAGAAACGGCCGAAGATGAAGAATCCGAACAGTCTAGCAGGCCGCCGTAAGGAGCTCGCCTCGACGGTGCATGCGGCGTGTTGTGCTGCCCGCCAATCCTACAAGTGCGATCGCCGCCACCGGCGTGCCCGCTATTGCCAGGGTGATCAGCATCCGTCATGAATCGGCTGCGATTCCCGTCCCCCATCGCAACAGCGAGGCTTTCCAGACCCGGTAGACGTCTGCAAGCATCGGCTAGGGCAGGCTCGTCGGAGGCGGCGCTGCAGCGATCCAGCCCCAGCGATCGTAGCAGGGGGCAGAGGGAAGCCAAGGGCGCCAAACATGCGCCCGTGACCATACGGCTGTCGGACATGAGGAGCTCCTTGAGGGAGGGACAGGCGTTCGCAAACCGTACCACGGAGGCGTTGTCGAGGCCCGGGAGTCGGAGCATACGCGCCGCCCGTAGGTGCGGCAGAGCTGGGGCCCCGCTAGGCATGGACCCTTTGCCGCTTTGTTCCCTGGCAGGGTTGACGCCAATATTCGCGGAGCGGTTGTGCTTGGTCTGGTCTTTCCGGCCGCGAGGGTCGGCAACACTCGTGTCACCATCATCATCACCAGAGTTTCCACCCCCTCCCCCCAGACCGCGAAACGAGGATTCATCCACTTTTACGAGCCCGCTGAGATCGACAAACTCTAGCTTCCCGCAGTTCCTGAGAAACTTTCCCACGACAGAAGCTGCTGTCGCCGGAATGTCGGAGATGTCGAGGTGTTGGAGGTACTGACCACTTCGGTCAGCAACGAACGAAAGCGCGGTCGACCCGCCGAGTCCCACGCATCCCGCCAAACCTAGCCGGAGCAGGTCTGGGCGACCTGTGGCCAGAAGTTCAACACCCTCTGGGTTTGTCGAGATGCATCCCGAAACGACGAGGGAGCGGAGGTCCGAACATCCCGCAGCTATCCACTCCAACGCCGACGGGTGTAGCTGCTGGCAACCGGGAAGCTCAAGCAGCTTGAGGCCGCGCACTGGGGCAGTTGCAACCCCGCCTGCGAATATTCCTCCCAGGAAGGCCCTCCCCGTAACCTGCAAGGTATGTTCGAATACATGGTACACTGCCTGGATGCGTCACGGCATGAAAGATCATATTCGTGTTGACTATTTTGAACAGGAGTTCCTAACAGCTCCGCATAGTGCCTTATGTCTCAAACGAGCGAAGCCTTGAAGCAGAAGGAAACTTGTGTCTTCAACATTTGTTTTTGTTACTCTAGGCCATCGCTCAACGAAGACTGCAAATGGCTGCCGTTGTGTCGTGTATCCACGAAGTACTCGACACTTGTAGATCGGGGCACAAACCACCTCCCCTTCCCCCCCTCCATCGCGCAAGGCTCTCAGCGAATGAGCCAAGACGAGCCTTCCTACTGTTTGATCTCTATCACCATGCCTCTGGACAGTCCGTATCCGTGCGATCAAGGCAAACACGCTCAAACCCTCTTTAAACATGGACTCCTACCACCGCCAAGATAGTGTGCCAGTGTCTTGGTGAGAAGCTTGCAGCTGTAGCGCGTCGGGCTGCACCACTCAGGAGAGCTTACCGCAGATACTCGCTGTAAAGCACGACAGTCTGATAAATGCGAGAGGTGGAACACTGCTGAGTGCTGATGCGCAACTCGTTGACCCTCAGCACGACGAGATACAAGATGTCCTTGGCATCGTTATTGCAGGGCCAGCTTTGGTAGTAGAAGATGTGATTGAGAGAGAGAGAGCGCTGGCCAGCTCTCGTTGGCTAGAAACAACATTCACAATATCTACTGTCGGGGACCCCGAAAAGTCAACCGGCTATGTTGGGCTTCCCCCGAGAACTATTGTGGCCGTCCGCTGATAGTCCTTGCGGGAACGTGTCACACATCTGCTCTACTAGCTACTGCTGATTGCGGAACTGATAACATTATATCGCGTTCTACAGACCTACCGTGCTCACGCAACACTGCTGTCATAGCTTGGGTACAACTACTGTCGTCAATGTTGCCAACAGCGAACACAGGAGTGATAGAACTTGACTACTGTCTACACGAACACGTAAATATCTCTGACACAGTGCTCGCATGGCTTCTTTTTGCATTGATCGTACCAGGTCGCAGCCACCCGCTGAGAGTTCTTGGAGAGCGAGACATCCATCCAGGACTGCTCGAAGACCAAGGTCCCCCACACCCGGGCAATCGGAGACAAGCAGCCGTTGAAGGCACGGGAGTCCGCCCTTGGATGTGGCGGCAGATAGGCCTTCATCGAGCAAATCAAGGGGGGTGGAGGTGGTCGCTCACTCATTGGCGGCCTGCCTTCGGATGAAACAGGCGTACAGCATACAGTTAAGACAGAGCACGTCCCCCGCAATTGTTTTGTGTTTCGTTGCACGAACACGTGGGAAACGTCTGCTAAATACCCGTCAGGAACAACGAAAGCACAGTAGTATGCTAGGTTGCCCAAGGTGTCTATTGACGAACGATTCTCTACAACTCCCGTCCCGGTTACGTCGTTCAGCCCAACTGCGTGACAGATTGCGCATAGCGTGAGACAGTGAGTTTTGGGGCCAAGCTTAGATAAAGTGAATCAGGGAGGATACTTCACTTCGAGCAAGGTACCTACGTGGTCGGCGGCCGGGACATCACCACTACCGCCCGTCCCCACACCGGTTCAACAAATGGTTGCGGTCAGTCGCTTGCGGGAAAGGCGACTTCTGGCATGTACCTCCACCTCCACGAGAAACTGTTTCCCGAGAAAAGCTCTGTGATGTACCACCAACCTGTCATTTTCAGAAAACAACCTATTTCAGAAACAGGGTAGAGACGAAACGTTCCCAGGGTACTCCCTCTCCCCCCTCAGAACCCAGGCCCCTGCCCCCCTTCTCGTGTATTGACTTGCCTTGGTCGGTGAGTCCCATGCATGAAGACAGGTCAAGGCTCGACAAAGCCGGGCAGCCACGGGCCACTTCGGCAACGTGACTAAATTTTACGAGGGGCACAAAGAGAGGCACGAAGAGAGGGTGCATGTCGGCGAGGGAATTTTTACCGAGCATCATGGCGCGGACACGGTGAGACTGCGAGCTTGGTGCTTCACAACACATGACAGCGCCATGGAGTTTGTGTCGTCGCGTACACCAACGTCTTGGGCTTGCATCTCGCCGCAAGGCCCGAGGCTTCAACTACGCGAAGTGTCCAACAGTCGAATAAAGCCTCTTGCTCTAGCCAGTCCAGATGGCAGTACCCACGATAGATAGTGAGGTAATCAACGGGCCTAAGTCACGTTTCAAGTTGAATATGTGTATAGTACACGCAATATGAACGCCAATCGCGAAAAGCCCCTCATCTCGGTAACGTAACTCGCGTTTGGCGGTTTCGAGAATACAATAGCTCACCCGTCTCCCATGTCCAGACACCCGGAGAGGTCCAGAGTGACAAGCTGCCGGCCGACTCCGCGTAGAAGGATTCCATGCGCGTCCGGTGTCACGCCAGAGCAGTTGGTGATCTCGAGGCTCGTAAGCTTCTCACCCACCCGGGACAGGGCCTGCAGAACCTCCTCTTGGTCAGGCCCGAAGTTCCTCCCGGATAGCTTTAGCGTCCGAAGGCACCTGATTGCTCATGGGTATTTTAGTTGCCCACGTGAAAGAACATTCTCGTCAGGTACGGTGAGAAATTCGAAGTACTTCTTTGTTTGGTGCATCACTGAAGCTTGAAATAATTCTTCTAACTGGGAGGTCGTGGGCGCGAATTCGTCAGGTTGGTCGACCTCGCAGCTTGTACGTCCCGCACCTTCACGTCAAAAGCTTTTACCCACCCGATGCTGTAAACAATAAAATGTAGTACTCAAGCGAAAGGCGAATCAGATATGTCAATCAAATTCCATTCAATCGTACGTATCAGTATTTGTTAAAACCTCAATGCTTCTCGACCAAACGAGAATGGTTTGGTGTAAGTGGTACACACATGAGAAGAGATAACAATCCACCGTTTGTAAATGTTTTGTCCCTCCAGCAACCTCAGCGCAAATAAGACCAGAGTACAGATACACGGCCTTACACAACCGAGTTGTGTGTTGCCAGGGCTTCGTATGCTCATAGTCTACACCACGAGTGTTCATGCCATATAAGCTCGCCTGTTTGCCCTCCATAAGGCGTCGATTTGCCCTGCGAATGATATATTCCACGGGCTCAAATCGAGCGCTTCGACGGGGCTGCCCATGAAGTGGCCCGGGGAAGGACCGAGGCGCCCGTCCGACCGGGGCACGTAGGCCATCGTCAGCAGCTGAAAAGGGGCGCAAGCCTCTGGTTTGTAGGGCAGCATGCCCTCCTCCCCCTCTTCTTTTCGGTGGAGCGCGTTTGCCCATATTACAGCGCGCGCCGCGGCGGGGAATCGAACCTTGGAGGAGGTAGCCGTCATTTTAGTCGTCTCACGAGAAGCCCCAGCTAGGGTTCCATCGTACAGCGCTCGGTGTCGTCGTCTGCGCTCGGCCTTGATTGAATCCAGCTCTCTTTGCACATCTTCCAAGCTGGTGACATCGGGATCGGCTATTGACATGGACGTCATGGCGGCAAGGGGTTTGGTTGCTGGCTCTGACCAGCATCATCCAGTGTGGATCATGTCTTCTTCTCTGGTGAGGGTCGTCTGCTCTGTGAGGAAACTTTGCAGGATAATCGTGTGTTTGGGTCTTGCAGTAGTTTATCCATACAGGTCTAGATGTATGCCATACGCAGCAGAAGAAAAGCAGCGGGACCACCACGAATCAGTTTGATTAGAGTCGCTGTCTAGCGGAGGCGCGGTGCCCAACCCTCATACCCTCATCCCTCATGTGATGACGTTTCCCTCAACCGGCACCAAACCTCGCGCGTCCGAGTACCTACTCAGGTAGCAGGGACGTTGCAATGCTTCATTCTGCGGAGCCCCCCCCCGTCCGGGATGTTGACAACACAACATAATCAACTTGCAACCAGAGCTCCCTCCCTAGACCAAAAGCAAAAAGCGTAGGCGGCTCTCAGGAGGATCCCCAAGGCGACGGTGGAAGTGGTAGGTCCGATCGATGTAGATTGATGCTTCGAGAGAGCCTCCAATGTGCATTGCTGCTGCAGTATCGCCAACTCCAAGTTGAACATGACCTCACCTCACCCTGAGGTGTAGACTACAGGTTGTGCGCTGTATGCGTGTGAGAAGACATGTCAAAGGTAAGCGTGGCAGCAGTATGGCACCACCAGTTCCTTCTTTTGCAGCCTATATTTCTGCTAGGTAAGTGGTTATCTTGTTGCGTGGTTGCAGTCGTGGAACATTATTGTTCTCGTCGCCCAATGACAATATGCTAACCGCATGGACGGCTGATTGGATCCCTCCGCATCTTGCTGCGCATGAACGCACACATCAACAATGTGCGCTCTTTCCCTCTCGCGCGCGCTCTCGGTCTTTCATGGATAACGTAGCAGACACTAAACCCGGAAGACTCGAGCGCCGCGTGTGGGTTTGTGTTCGATTAGCCGCTGGGGGGCCGCTTTGGGTACTGCTACTTCTGTGCGAGCTTTCAGCACACATTCTTGTTGTGGCGACTTTTCAAGATCACTATGTGTGTGTGTACAGAAAACAGACTTTTAACTCCGGTGTATCCGGTATTCGTCCTCAACAGCTACTGCTGTAAAGGCTTCGACGCGTGCACTTGGATTTGGGCATTATGTCGAACGGGTAGTCTCTCTGTTGTTGTGTGCGTAAAACCCTCGTTGTATTCATAAATGTACATGCCATCGAACCGAAAAGTCACACTGCACATTTAGCACCCTTCATCTCTCTCCACGTGTCACGAAACGATTGGGTACAGCTGGCTATGTCGAAAACTCAAATCTGTCAAAATCTCGTCCATCCCTTACTTAATTTCTTCCGCTTCCCTTCGTTTCCCATCCCTGTCCAGGTCGGCCAGCGGGCGCGGTCGATCCCATCCGTCCACCATCGGTTGTGGTGGCGTGGTGGACACGACGCCGTCATCAGGTCTCGAGAGACAGTCTCGCTGAGTTACAAGGCCTTGGCGTTTTTCAAGGCAAGATCCGGAGCTCAGCGGGCACAGGATCTGGCTTCAATCTCCGAGAGCTTTCTTTTGCCGCAAGCAGCAGGAGTACCAGCAGATAGTGTAGCAACAACCGGGGAGGGTGAGAATACACACACACACACACGAGAGAGAGAGAGAGAGAGAGAGATGTCAATCAGTGGGGATTCATGGCACAAGGTGTCCTCCGAAACTCCAGAAGACAACACCAACGAGAGCGACCCTGCTCCACCCCAGCAGAAGCAGCAGCAGCCGCAGTCGCAGCAGCCGCGGCTTATAATTTCGGACTCGAACGTGGAGGAAGGTAGCGCAGGAGTTTTGCTGAGGCTCCGCGGTGGCCTGACCCTGCTGTTCGTGGTGGCTGTGTGGGTCATCGGGGTGAGTGAATGGCGTGTTGATAACGAACCACCGTGTTGGTCTGCAGGAGGGAAAAATGTCGCCTTACACCGCATTGCTTGTTCCGTTTGGGTCAGGTCTTCTTCGTATGCATGTCCATGTTGACTGCCAAATTGCCTCGTGGATGAAATGATTGAATGCTACCGCAGCTAGTGTTTGTCGTGGGCCTCTTTCGAATGAGCAGAGTTTCGCTGCCTCCTTTCATTTGAAGGCGCACGCAGCTGGCTCGGGCAACTCTTCCTCGTGCGCCGCTATGCATTTTAATCGCCATGGCCTTCTCTACTGCCATCGTTCTCAAAATCATGGTGGCAACACCGTTGTTGAAAACTCGACAACAACAAAAAGTATTTCCCCCCACGAAACGAAAGCAACTTGCGCATTTTATCCCGTACATTTGTCCGCTTTAATCTTTGTACTTGTGATATGTATGAGCCTCGCTTTCACCCGGACGTCAGGGCATTATTGAGGTACTGCAACGCTCGTTTAATGCCCTCCCGGGAAGTCACGTGTCCACATCCTGACGCATGATCGTTATCGTTTGGGCAGGCACTTGCGCCCCTGGTTGCATGCGCCTTGATTTGGGTCGGCAGCCGCACGGCGTACACGGTGCTGGCTGGTCTGTTCGCAGCCGGCGTTTTCCCCTACGTGGCCAAGGGTAGCGGCAGTAAAGAGAACGGCGACGTCGGCTGGACGGAGTTCCGGCACGCGATCCCCCGGTGGTCGCAGTACTGGCACAAGTCCTGCGGCCGCGTGTACGAGAAGGAGGGGCCTGAATCGTGGGTGAGAAGAGTAGAGGCGCCCGACCCTAAACGTTGTTTTTTGTGTACAGTACAGTCGTGGCTCCGGGATAAGAGGGCACCATATTTGGAGAAGGTACTGGTACAGAGAACAGAATGATTCTTTAACGTGAAGAAAACAATAATATTAGAGAGGGGGGGGTGTCCTCATAGTCGTGCATGCCGTAGTCGTTAGACCATTGACCTCGCATCCCTACAAAGCCGGGACGGAGCACGCCGGGTTCTCACCGGACCAGGCTCTCGCATCACCAAGCGCGAAGCGCCGTGAGGCATTCCGCGAGTCGCATGAAGGGTGCGCTGCATCCTGCTAATGGTGTTCGGCATCTTGTGCTTACTCCCTTGCATACGGATGACAGCTGCGTGTGACTTAGTTCATTTGCTGGTGCTTTCACTTCCTGAGACAGTTGTAAGCAGTGTGTAACTGCCTCGAGGGTGCTTGACCATTTCAACACAGCGTAGTGCGATCATCCCCCTTACGCGAAGTGAGGCTTCTCCACCCCGCACAACATGATCTACTCGACCACCACTATGGTTACCGCCAAAAAAAAAAACAGAGGTAAGAAAAAATAAACGGTAACCTGGTTGCCGAGTTCACGAGCTTGATTTACAACGTCGTTGCCAAGCGATAAAAACCCAATCCCGATGTCAAAACACCGAGGCGGAGGCCATATTAGAGAGGGCTGCGGTAAGAGAGGGCCGAAATCGGCGATCACGGACTCAACCCGCTACACTACACCGGTCGCCCTGGTGGTCTAGTGGTAGGACTCGTAGCCTTCTAAGGGCCGGGTGAAGAGTTCGAGTCCCGGCAGAATGAGTTTTTTTCTCGCTAATGATATCCTGGTCTTCGTTGGAAGCGACGCGCTGCAAAGCTCGTTGTACGTTGATCGACTTCATAAGTCGCGAGGGAAGGGATTGCTGTGCCCTTCTCGCGATAAAAATATCTCAGGCAGGAACCGCAGGAGGGGATCCACCCCCCCCGTCCNCTACAGTATTTGGTACGTGAGTGTCCGACAATTCCTGTACAAAAGGTACTTCCGATGTAGTGGGTCGAGGGCCTTTGCCACACCACCGTCGTTCTTACGTCGGATCCACGACTGTAGGGAGAGGTGTGAGACTGATCAAAGGGGGAAGATATCTGACGGAGATGGGGGGAGGGGCAGTGAGTGGAATCGGATTGCTCTTGATATGTGCTAGGCCCCTTGGCCGTAACCGTGACCGTACCCCGTTCAGGACAACATGCCCCCGACGGTATTCTGCTACCACCCTCACGGAGTCTTCACCCAGGGATACATCATCAACGGGAGCATGAACGAGGAGCTGCCTAAGATCCTCGGTCTTCTCGCCAGTGAGTTGGTTCGCACGCAGTAGATGGCGATGTTGATGTGTTGGCCGTGAGATTTTTTGTTCGAAGTAATGGCGTTCCGTAATGACGTGCCGTGGCGTCTCTTTTTTGTTCGGGCCTCTCTCAAACATGAATTGGAGATGGCGGCTGTGGAGGGCGTTGGTAGACGAATCGAAAATCTTGCTCTCGTTCTGGTTGGATGCTTGCGCCAGATTTATACCTGTCTGCGGATTTCGTTTGTTTCCATTTGTGTGTGCATATCTTCGTTTGGCGGGAGAAGCGGGATTAGGGTTCGGGGAAGCAACGTGAATCGCTGCTTGCCTACGTGTGAATTGCACGTCGTTGAGGAACGGAGGGACTATGTGTCTTGGATTACTGCATCAACCTCCCTTCATTGATTGTTGCCGGATACTTACGGGGCGCGAGAGGAAGTGAGCATACGTGGGAGTGGAGAAAAACTGGAGGTATTTTCTTTACTTTTGGCCAGGACAAGCGTATCACCCCCGCCACTGCCCTTTTCATTGCCGCGCTTGGAGCCTAAGCTCGGCGTACCTCCCATTGTGCGATGTGTCTACCCCCTGTCACCGCCCACTCTCCCCATTGCTTGTCGGTCTTGACGTCAACCACTCACGAACGAATGCGTCTTTCGTGCCGCTCTCGGATGTACCGCAGCCGCCCTGTACCATGCCCCGCTATTTCGGCTGGTGTTTGGGAGGTGGGCGGGGTCTTGTGCACCGTCATCCAAGCAGGTTTTCCTGGACCAGATGCAGAAGGTGCTTCTTTTTGAAGAGTGTCACCACACCCTTACTACAAATAGCTTCTTTGCACAAGACTGAGCGAAACGCCTTATATGTTTGTCAAACGATTGACACGAGTTTTGATCGTGTTCACCGCAACTTGGAGTGATGACAGCAGACAGGAAGCCTCCGCTGTCAACTTTGTATTTTTGTGGTGGCTGCAAGAGACAAAGCTATACTTTTCGTGTTGGCGGGCGGCGGTCATCCAGACCACATTTGTGTAGCGGCTTTTGTGTCTCGATGTGTGTATACGGCGTTCCAGGGTCTCTCGTTCGGCATCATCCCAGGGGGATTCCAAGAGGCCACGCTGTCTAAGCTAGGAGAGGACCACGTTTGGATGAAGAATCGCAAGGGAATTGTTAAGGTACGTGACGGCCGCGTTGCGTTTGGGCTGATTGCTGGTATTTGCTAGCGTTGGACATTTTGTTCCGTTGTCCTGATAGTGCGCATCTTCATCAAGAGTATTCAACGTGTCTGGCCCCGTCTTCGCTCACGAAGCCCACCGCTCATGGAGCCCACGGCAGTTGCTTGCCAGGTGGTCTCCTAGTAGCGACAACGCGGAACAATGTTGTGTCAGCTACCTCCGGCGGTACTCGCAGCAAGGCATATGCCAAGCTTTTACGGCCGTCGTGTCCTTTGACCATGGCTGCGCTCATGTCCGCACGAGCTTAAAGCTGGCCTTAAAGTCCAAGTCGCGATGGCGTCATCATGTGTAGTGTAAGATCTCCCGGGATGTCGCCACTTGGGTAGGCATGAATCTCTGGAATTCGTGCTTCAGGCTCGGGTACAATCCTGACCGAAGTGCAGGCTCGGCGTTGTGGGGAAGCGGTGATATGGCGGTGAAACAAACGTTTCTTGGACAGCAAAGACCCGGGAGGTTCAGTTGAAAACGAGAGCGACATGCGATCACACCTCACGAATGCGATCACATCTCTGCAAACGCTTTTTTAGTCAACCTCCGGTAGCAGTGCTACAGTAACCACATCACTTGTGGCCTTGCTTTGGCTCGTCCTTGGTATGCATATTGCGCATGTTGTTCGCACGTACTCGGGCGTTGCATCTGTGTTGACCCTCCCTTCCTTGGGGAAACAACCAACAGTACGCGCTCCAGTCTGGCTACCGGCTTCGACCCTGCTTTACATTTGGAGAGTCTGACACCTACTGGAACGCCCAGGTTTGGACATGATGACGTATTCACGCGTTCACAGCTGTTCTTTGCCCTGACCAAGTCATAACAAGAGCCGTTGTCTCGCATTGGTGTCTATTCTCCAGATTTTTTGCAGTGGCAACTGTTTGATATCTTTGTCGCGCATGTTTGTGTTGTTGGGATGGAGATAAGACCGGTTTGACGGCTGTTGACCGTCCCACCGACGCTTGGATTTGGTTGTAGAGTGTGGTCGGTGAGGCCGAGGTTCGGACGGTGTAACCCAGCGTCGAACCACGCATAGGCAATGCGGTAGGATAAATGTCGTGAATTTTTCGAATACATCAACATGTTGGATACAGCGTGCGATCGGGGACGTTGGGTTCAGGTTCGGAATGGGGTCTGCGTAGCACTTTCCTGTTCAATTTCTTCATTCGCTTAATTTCTCGCCAAGGCGGTCCGCTCGTTGTGACGGAAAGGGAATACCACGTGAGGTCGGCGTGTCTGGAGGGCTCTTCTCTTGTCATCCCAATGCCCCGAAGATTTTATGTTCCATGCGGTTCAGTAACGGCCATCGAAGCTTAAGGAGGGTGGTTTAGGGTCAAGTGGTTGCTTTGCCCATTAGATCAACCTCTACCCTAGCTACATAGTCATTTCGCCCATATTTGTTAGATTGCAACCAGGACGCGATATATTTTGCAATGGACCAAAATGATCGAATATTGGAGGGTCAATATACGCTCCGTTGTCACCACGCAGGGCATGTGGAAGCTGCGACTGTGGATGTCAGCCAAGAATTTTCCCGGCGTTTGCCCATGGGGGACGTGGTGAGTGCGGGGAAGGGTCCGTGGTGCATTGTTTTGCTATGAATTCTGTTAATCGACATGATTGTTATTGTGCCGCCGCCGTTGTTGTTCCAAGTGTCGTCCTGTGTCGTTATTATTGTTCATTCCGGAGGTATTCAACCGAGTCATTTTCAGGTCGTGGCCTTTGTCTTGACATGGTCGAACTGACGCTTGTTCCTTCACAGGAATAGACAGATACCTTGATATTGACGTCACGAGAGGATATGTTCCCGACGGCTACCCATCGACGATTCCATCGACGATGTCTCGACGACGATGCGATTGATTGCCGTGACTTCGACAGGTGGTGCCCCCTATTGCCCCGGCGAGTGAAGTTGATGACGGTATTCGGCGAGCCTCTCGCCTTGCCTAAGATCGAACAACCATCGCCCGAGGACGTGGACAAATGGCACGCTGCCTACGTCGAGGTTAGCAGTCTATGCATTGTACATGGATGTAGTCACCGCTTCCCGTAACTAGCACCACCGCGAACAAGGTGGGATAAGTCGGACTTTGCCCACGGCAGGTGCGGGCAAAAACTCGGTGACTCTAGCGGTTTCCGAGTGAACACAAGTAGTCGGAGCTCAAGTGTTCGACGGGGCATCTTGATACCACGGACCTTTTTGCGAACGTCACAGAGACAGACGCCTATAGTGCCTCCGACAAGACGCCGTTTTCCTCTTTCGGACATCCATGACATCGTTTATGTGCGTGCGACTATGTCAGTCGTCTGTTCCTTACCGCCGAGGAGGACCCCGCGATACTTCCTTGCAAAACCAGATCCTCCCGCTAACATGATGTGCCCCGTCCTCCCTCCCCTCTACTCCTTTTACCCGCTCTGGATGCCTGGGGTCGGTTTTTTGCTGGTCGTCCTTGACGCAGGAGTTGAAAGCTCTGCACGGCCGCCACAAGGCGAAGTATGCCTCCAACCCACAACTGGAGTTGAAGGTGTTGTAGGGTTGTTGGGCGATCAAAAGGGGGTAATGATGTGTTTCCTTTCCGTTTTTCCCAGTATCCTTTGGTTTGCTTTGTTTGTTGTTAGTCGTGACAATGTTGCGGTAGTTAGCTAACGTTAGTGTGAAAAGGGGTGTTAGATGTTGCTGTTCGAATTGAGTAATCAACGATGGACGTCGCCCAGTACCGGTTGCTTCTTTCATTATCGATACTGTAGGTGGCGTCTTGTTTTGTGCGTTTCGTTGTTTCGCTTTTGTACTAAAGTACAGACAAGTCACGGACGATCAGAATTGAGTCTTGTGATTGTGACTGAGACACGGAGAGCACGGCAATACTTTTCACTCTCTTACACGCGCCATTCATGGTACCCGACATGTATGCGTACCATGATTCATTATTCTTGTTCCACACTGCAGCTGTCATCGTGAGATTTAGGATTTGGAAGGGAGGTGGTTCACGGCTTCTGTTGTTGACGTTCCACACTGAGCATTATAGCACACCACGTGTTCGTTTGTGCTTCCTCTTCCCTCGTGTGCGGAGGAGTCAGGGATTCGATGCATAAGACGCGACCGCATATGCTGGTAACTGACGCGTTCTAATGCTTGAAGGAACAGCGAGCGCGCTCACGCTGTAGGTCGAAGAGCATCGGCGGAGGATGCACTTACTGGGCTCTTCCAACGAAGCACGCACTCGACACCGTACGTAGTTGTAATTTTTTATTTTTTATTTGGATGGACGCAGAAGGTCTAGTGTATTGGTCGACCAGGCTGAGGTGTTTGTTTTCTTTCTGCGAGCGGGTAGCTGCCTCATCATACAAAGACCATCCTCATGAGTGACTCTGCAAGGGACTATTTTATTGGTCAACAGTTTACAAGGGGATGATGAAGGGACGTCCTCTTCTTTCCGGAGAGTCATCCCATCGGGCCATATCCGCGCTTCTACACGCGAACGACGACTGTTCGATTGGCTTCCTCGCGACGATTTCCCTACAACACACATACAAGCATGTCTGGAGGTGAAACGCGAAACAAACGGCCATGTCAAACAGCTACGGGCCCTCTTCACGATGAGTAGGGTTGATAGTCTACAGTAGTCCAACCCCGCAAGCAGGAAACCACGGACGTGCTGATTCTCGTACTCGATGCTTTCCGGCTATCCCTCTCACTGTTGTCGTCACCACGAGTGCCGTACAGAACATTGCCCAAACTAGGAAGTTTGGGTATTGTTTCTGGAACCGTGCGTGCAACCCTGAAAGCCTCCACATCGATGTTTTGCGTGGTCCCTCATCATGTGTTTTTTCTGGCTACAGACTAGAACCGAACGAAAGTCCACGCAGTCGGGTAGATGATGCGACCCGAAGTACGTTCAAGAAAAGAAAAAAGAACCACTTACGGTGCACGTCCTAAAAAACGTTCATGGCCATCAAAGCCATGGTGATGTGGCTTAATGCTGTTCAGCACCGTTCGACATGATCAAAAATCCCAAGCATGTCACGACGGTGCCAACATAGTCTCTACAGTTGTCTACTTCGTGTATACTGATTCCATTCGATTAAATCAATTTCATTTCTGGAAGAGTAAAATGAATGCTAGCTGTTGCAGGTGCTTCAGGGTCGCGGCTTCCTAGCATGCCGAAGCTTCTGCGCTCTTGTTCTTCTATTGGAGTGAAATCTTCGTGCAGTCATCCCTCCGACCCCTTCTCCCCCCTCCTCCTACCGCTCCCTCTCCCCCACGTCCGCATGCCTCTCATCTCCTCCTTGGTTGTACTCATGAATTCCGTGAAGTAGTGTTGCTGTTGCTGTTGATCTCGACGCCTGCCAACCGTAACCGTCACCCACGCTTCACCCATTCGAAGTGGTTGAATGACTGCGTTCGGGGCCTAGGACAGGCGAAGAACGGACGACATTTGTTGGCGCCCTGCTGTAGATACCCCCAAAAAGAGAGCAGTGGGGGCCCGGGGTACTTGAGCATATGTAATCTATTGGCTTCAACACGTCATAGCCAAGCGGCTGCACACCCGGCCAAAGGCGTATGCCTCACATGTCGTACTCATAAAAAGGATCAAGGCCTACATGGCGATGGAGAATCATGAGTCATCTTCGATTTTTCTCTTTTTCGGGGGTTCTATGTGAAGTGCGTTGCCATTCATTCGAATCAACCAATGAGCACAACCCCATTCACTATCCTAGACTGTACTATTGAACACTCACAGATGAACTTATGCAACGTTTCTCCCTAGGAGTAATCCAGCGGTAGAAACTACGAAACTACTGGTATGATGATCCCAGCGGCATTCCCGTAGACGGTTTGTACTACCGCACGCATAGGTCCTTCGCGTTGATGTCCTAAATTCTGCCCATCACGGCACTTATGCAGTATCCCCTCTTCTGTGTTTTTTCCATCAGAGAGGACATTCTCCGCGATCACTAACTTGATGATAACATGATATCTACATATCTACTAGAGGAGGCCAGTGATATTCACTGCGTCGTTCTCGCAAGGAAAAATGTGCGCATTTTGACAGCACGTCATCGAAGGCAAAGCCAGAGGCACATGATGACCGCTAGCGAAGCGGAGCTCGTTGCCCCGACGAGCAACGGGCGTCACCCAGTACTAACCACAAAGGAGCCTCAGCAGGGTATTCCTGCACTCCTAAAATGCCGGCAAGTGTGCATCGCCTGGTCGTTCCGTCGACCAACTCCCTTCCAAGTCTTGGCAGCATGAACCAGGGTGCCGTAAGATAATTTAGGCTTGACAAAGCTTTCCACGCACACATACGCGAGGTGGATAGCTTCGTCCCCTGCCCAACTACGGTACATCGTGGATCCCGGTCGTGGTTTCTCCAACCAACCATGTCGCCTATGCCACCCCCGAAGGAGCGGCGTTTTCGGTCGGTCAGGCAGTGAGGACAGCCTCTGTAGGTTGAACAATTACCTGAGACGATATGGACCAAATTCAGTCGCCAGAACAACGGATCAGGTGAATCAACCTCATGCATGGGTAACCCAGAGGGGAGGGTAGATCACAGCCTAAACGCGAAAACAGAACGGTCTTTGCAGTGATTGCTTCTTTATCCCACCTTTCGCTTCTGTGTGGAAGCCAGGGATATCAGGGATAATATATGAACCACGTTCATCAGTTCACTGCTGCCCGAATTGCCACTCTTCGCATGTGCACCCTGGTGTGCATAGATGCATACACGACCACCGAACACCCCGAATAATTCGACCTAAATGAGCAACATATTTCAACAAAACCACCTCATCCCCCGCACCTCTTTCTTGGTGACTTGCAGCTTGCAGGGCTCCTGGTGCCCCTTGCAAAGCGGCCTGCTTCCACCGCCACCGCCTACTTTCCCTCCCCCCCTGAGCATGGGCGCTGCTGCACTGCCACCAACTCCTCCCCTTCCCCTTTCCCCGCTACCCCAGGTAGACGCCGCGACGGGTTTCTTGTCGGCCCAAGTGGACGATGAGCACCGCTAGTTGCCCGTTCTAGCGCAGTTGTAGAAGTGACGCCCTTTGTTGGGGCCCTGGGAGGTAATGAGGGACACAAGCGTTGTGTCAGACGGGCACCGAGGAAGCGGGGGAGCTGCGCAAGTTTTGGTGCTTCAACAATGATCTTGGTTTGGTGAGGAATAGAACAGCTTTCATCAGGTTAGGTTGAGTGGCGTTGATCGCACGGAGAAAAACATCACTTGGTTGGTCCCCACTGCCCGAGAATGGCCGAACTTTTTCCACCGTTACTCACCCGACGCAAGACAAAAAGAAGGACTTCCATCTGCGTTATCCAGAATATCGAATCTTTGCCTCTATGGGATGCTGATACCTCGGTTTCACACCGTGCCTCAAAATAAAAAAATAGCTGAACCGCGGATTGGGGGAGAAAAAAGAATACGCATGCCCACCCTCACGTTCTCATCGTGTTTTTGGCGTACAATGAGGGAGAAACAGGGAAGGGATATATATGTTGAACCCCTTCCACCGGAATGGTGCAAGGCAACAACAACAACAACAACAACAACAACAACAACAACAATAACAACAACAACAACAACAACAACAACAACCATAATCACGGGGGGGGGGAGATGAAAAATCGACGCCCCCACGTCTACCTTCCTCCTGTGTGGCCGCATCTGGTGCTTGATCTTTAACCGAACGATTTCGCCTTGCCCGACCCACAGTACATGGGGTACGGCATGTCGGAATAACGGCAAGCACATATTATATATATATTATATCACGATTCGTCTAATGAGTCCTACATCTTGATTAATGAATGCATTCGCTGCATACGGGGTTAGAATTTTTTTTTTTTCGTATATTTTTTGACCTCTCTCGCCCAATACTCCATTTCACGACTTGAAACCACGCAAGTGCGTTCATCACGTGCAGTTTATGAGACCTACGAATGGAATGACGCCTTGCTCATTATGACACCGACATTGACACCTTCGCAAAAGTAGACCTCAGCCGCTGTGTGCTTCCCAACATCCACGTACACGTTCTGCATGCATCGACGCGCATGGACGTGACATTACACAACACAAACATCGCCACCCTTTATGCATTCATCAAACGTCGTCACAACATGACAAGTAGTTACGATTGGCCATGCTCACTGCAGATTTACAGCATTCAGATGCCCCATGCTCGCTGCCGCATACGGGCAAATATACCGATTTTCTGCAGACAACCTCGCTCGCCAATCAAATTTTCGCCGCATATTAT